AAAATGGTCCGTGTCTGTGCCCATACTAGTGTGAGAGCGAGCCGGCATCTCAAACCTGTCATTCAGCAGGATTTAAAAATGCCAGTTTAATTAACATGTCCAATTTAGGCAGAGAGGTTTTGAGTTTGCCAGCTCTTTCACCTGCCTACTTAACATTATGTGTGTTGTGCCATGGCGATAAGGCCTCTGTGATTCCATCTGCCGCACAGAGGAATAATTCAGTGACTAATGATATGATTCTAGGATGGCTTTGTTGCCCCTGGGGGTTTTTTACCTCGAACTTTAGAGGAAATGTTTTATGTAGATATGCACAAGGGGATAAATTACAGCTTTAACTACCTGGTGTTCTGAATTTTAACCAGAAAGAGGATTATATAGGCAGTCTATATCTTAGTCAGCTAATTAACTTTGACTTCAATGGAAATGTAACACCTTAACATGTCCTTATATGTGCCCTAGTGGTAAGTGACATTTTTCGGATGTATTTATCTCATTATATTGTATATTTATATGCAGTTATATATCATAGGAAAGCCATTTTTGTCAAATCTGGTTACACAGTGTATCATAGCGGCACTGGAAGGCGTAAAAGCTTTAGCGTAAATGTGAATCATTTCAAAGCTCTATGATGATGTTACGGTCAATGTGTTTTTTCTTTTTCCGGCAAAAGCATCTTCTCTGAGGATTCTTAAGTCAAACAGAAATACATTCCCCAATTAGAAAGATAAGACATTGCCCCGTTAAAAATATATGAACATTTACTTTAGCATGGTAATTCCAAGGCTGGGGATTAGATGTCAGCCCCAATTTGTGTATTCCCCAGCTAACAATTTTTCATTTTAGGAATGTTTATAAAATGTTACAATCGCAGTATGGAAATGTTCCCAGAATATGATCCCACTGCTACAACTCCTAGAAGTAAGAATGACAATAAGAAGCGATTAAAGCCCTTGCTAGAGCACTGGCTATAGAGCACTGGCTATAGAGCACTGGCTATAGACCACTGGCTATAGACCACTGGCTATAGCCTTTGCTTTGCGCCTCTAAAGTCACAGATTCAAGGCTGAGTGTCATGCTTACAGTACGTGCATATCTCCTTCCGATAATAATGTTATCGTGCTAACATTGACAGAACCTTTGTTAAACTGTAAAACGTAGAAATTACATTCCATTAACGTTACAGCAAGAAAGTCGCCGGCCAGCTTCAAGAAGACCTTTACGTAACATTGCTTAGGTTAAAGTTTAGCGGATGTTCCCTGTTAGCTGGACTGGAGTCCGCATGTTCTGTTTGTGTGTCGTTCCTCCATGTCCACCCCCCCGCATCGGTTGTCCACCTGCTTTGCTCCCTGTTTCCTGAGATAATTGCACTGGATGTGGGGCTAAGACAGCAAGAGCGAGCCGGCATCTCAAACCTGCCATTCAGCAGGATTTTAAAAGGCCAGTTTAATTAACATGTCCAATTTAGGCAGAAAGGTTTCGAGTTTGCCAGCTCTTTCACCTGCCTACTTAACATTATGTGTGTTGGATGGATGATGATAATCATTTTTTTCTTTGCGATCCATACTGTGAATGTACTGTAATAACAGCTATTATCTATATATGTTTAGTGCTGAAATGTACCAGATTTCAGGTCTGAATTTGATGAAAACATGCCTCAAACTCACCTCTCGATAAAACCAAATCAGCAGGTAGTAACTCTGAATTCGTTTTGAGTTCAGGCTGCGCCTGAATCCACACAATCTCCCAGTATGGCCCGGTGGATACGTCGCACTTTTTCCTCACCTAGTCATTTCATGGCAATTTTTTATGGTCAAATCAGACTTCATAAACAACGAGATGCTTTGCAAGTATGTTTGCCATCACATCGCATTACACGAAAAGTACAAAAAACAAAACATAAATTCCCATCTCTCTTCTTTCCTTATTTATTTTATGGGAGAGACGCCAGAATATTCCTTTGCAATTTGACGTGAAATGTGAAATGACCGTGAAAATGTATTGCAACAGGTTGTAAGCCGTGATGAATACAAAATATTCCAATGGAGCTGTTTAAAATCAAGGACAGATCTTGAGAGACTCTGCATCACACGTTAACCCTGTAACAACATGGAAAGCAGTCTGTGGTGATTTGATAGGCTTTTCAAGGTGTGCCAAGGCAGTGTGCGATTCTTGTGGAATTTCAAGGACCGGCGAAATGGAATAATACATTTCAGCATGGAATTAAGTCCCTACCTACTGGTATTAAAGCTATTTTCTTCGCCTCCCCAGTGGCCCCCAGTAAAAACAAAGAGGGTCGTCCTGTAGCGGGGATCCACGCTCTGCGTGCTACCCCTGTACGACGCGGGGGCCCGAGGAATGTAAATTGGCTTGCGTTCCATTTGGACAGTCAGCCGAGGCACCCCCTCGCCTTCCTGTCGATCAGCAGGGCCGCCTAGGGCCAAGGGTGGAATCGGGTGAACAAAACTCCTCTGCAAGCCGGTTACGTCACTCGACGGAGCTCGCAGGGAGCTGGGGAGGAGAACAGCGGGCGGGTGACAGGGTGCACGGAGATGCAGGCGAGTGGGTGGAGGAGCTGGAACGATTAGCGGGATTTTAATGTCGACAAATATGAATGACTCAAATGAGGTGCTTCTTGAATGAGGATATAACCTCGCTCTGGACGTGGGCGTCCATTCAAGATAATGCTTACTAATCACTATTCTCAAACATATTAGTCATTTTAACATTTTAAACCCCAACTTTACAGCAACAAAAAAATGATTTTCAAGGGTATTTAATAAGGTGCATCAAAAATATACTCGGGTGAAATGGTTTTGTGTTACAGAAGGCTTTAAAGTTTAATATGAAAAAGATTGTAAAGAGAGGATTATAACATTTTTTTAAAAAATTTTTTAAAAAGGACCTAAATCATTAAAGAAATAGCACGTTTGAAAGCAACAAATGCATTGGTTTTTCTATGTACTTGGAAAAGATATGACATGGAAATAAAAATGTTAGGGCAATTAGAAGCAACAGTGAAGAAATGCTGGAGCTTGCAGAGCTGGGGGTTCCTGGGGAGCACAAACGGGACGATGCCGTGAAGAGCTGCCAGTTAACGAGATGTGGCGACTGCATAAACAGCCAATCGGTGGAGCTCCTGCTCGGCCTTCTTGGGACGCCAGCTCTTAATTGGACTGCAAAAGCTTGGTTAGCTGTTCTGACCCTCAGCTTGGTCAGTCTGTCCCTTAGGTCACAATGGGCCAGATATACTGAGCAGGACAAATTAGCGTGAAGGTGCAATTTAAAAAAACAAAAATGTGCCAACGGGAGTGGCCAGTTATGCGGGTGATCAACTAAAAATGCACAAATTTATTGCCACAGATGCAGTCATGTAAATACTGACCAACCAGATCTACGAGGAGCAGCTCAAAATAAGACGTTTTATTTCAGCGTTAAATAATGCCACAATTTGCAGTAAATTGCCTACCGCAAACCGTATCATGATTAATTTAAATACTCTCCTCCCCCAAATTTTGCACTTTGAAAGGGAACTCCTACAAATGCATATGCAATATGGCCAGTTGCAAAATTACCCATATCAGTGCCTTTCTACCACTGACTTTTCATTGCACATCTGTAGTAAATCCTGAAAGTACTATTTTAATGCCAAAGGACGGTTTATGCTGGCACAATCTGATAGTAAATCTGGCCCTATATTCCTATTTAGGGTCCTGGGACTGAATCCAGGTCCTGTTTAGTTTGTCTTCAGCTCAGAATCCCCCTTCCTCCTAGAAGCTTAAGTCCTGCAAACACTAAACACCCTCATCTTCCATCTTGGAAAGGTGTTTGTCACGACAGTCTCTCCCTCTCCCGGCGTACAGAACTTGCAGTAGCAGAAACGTTTAACACACAAATATAGGTTATAACAAACATACACTTCAAATCCCTAGTGAGTCTTCATTACTTCTACTGTCTAAACTGGATTTAATATGGGAGTAATGACTTTAAGATGCTCAGCAAAGTTCATTGCCTGTAACTCAAGTATTAAAATGCAAAATGCACGATGGTTGTTCTAATACCTGAGTCTGGCCACATCACAAGAGTCCTACAAGGACAAAGATTGACTCAGTCCACCACACTGTTTACAAGCTGAATGCTGGATTAATGTCTGACAGCAGAGCAACTACTCAGAGTATTGCAAGAGCTTTTTTTTTTTTTTTTCCCTTTCTGCTCTCACCGATCAGACTATAAGGTATTTTTTCATGAGTGCACCACTGAATCAATCTTTCAGTATATGTGGAACACAGACAGACATTCCTCAATAATCAACAAACTAAGAGTATAACTTTTAACTGATCTATTAAGTTATCTAGGATTAGCTAGTTTCTCTCAAAGTAAACCAGTAGCTGCACAGTAACAGTTGTCACACAGATCTGTGACATAAAAAAACCCTATGAGGTTGAACTAGTTACTATTTTTAAAGAAACATAAGATGACAGACTGATATATGTGCATATATACATTCAATACAAGATAGTACAGTCCACCTACAGGCTATTTATCTTTTCAGATTAAATTCTACTTAACTGCTGATATCATAAGTACTGGAATTGACATTTTTATTTCACATTGCACTATAATTAAAGTGAGTCTTGTTTGTACTTCAGTGCATCTCTTGAGGAGAATATAAAGATCTTGGTAAATATCATAGCACGGATCCCTCTCAAAATATTATGATTGCGTGTCTCAGTTGTTCGTTTTTTAATTTGTTTTTTTTTCTTAATCTCACGCAGCAGAAGAGACCTTCGAGAATATCTAGAAAACCCTAGAAAAACATAAATGTCAGTGATGCCTAAGCGAAATGTGCATTATGAAAACTTCCCTTCATCTATTTTCCAACTGCTTATCCTCGTCGGGGGGGGGGGTTTGGGGGGTGCGCCCGGGGTGGGATTAAATTACCAATGCATCCTGAGAATGCATGTCATGGTGAAGGAGACCCCCTGTGAGTGCTGCCACGTTACCTCTGCCTCCTGGTTCCCATGTAGATAACGTTTCCCCAGACCATCTTGTCTTCTGCATGGGCCTTCAGGCGTTGGGATGACATGCTCATTGTCGTCATGATTGAGTTCATCCACCTTGCTGCTGGTCACCCTCGCTGTATTTTACCTTCTCCTTTTACCAAATGTTGGGGTCGTTTCCAGTGGAATGAGCCATGATATGCCTGAAATTTATTTTAGTAAGAAAAAAAAAATAGTCTATTGCCAGTGTTATATCTGGGAAGCCCACAACACATATGCAGTACGTGTGATTTTCCTCAAAGTCATGGTATGTAACATAGTGTTAAATTTGAAATGTTGGAACTTTCCCCATTGGCATCACATGTTTTTAATTGCTGAATTATTGTGGATGTTTTATGAATAACTTGGGGACAGGTGGGAAGCGAAAAGGAAGATGCGGTCTTTGAGCATGTGAGATGATATTGTGTGGTCTATTACATACAGACCGTCCCTCCAGCTGCTTACTTTACTATAATACAGTCCTGGTCGGGAACCACCATGAAAGGAAAGGCAGCTAGTGAATCAAGGACTTTCATACATCAGTTCGGTGAAGCACCGGTTTTGTGAGTCAGTGTCGGTAACGGTTATAAAAAAATAAACCCAAGTGTATTATAAGCTCTACACACAGCGTAGCATGACAAAGTCTGCAGGAGTGAAACGCATGCGGGCCAGTCTAGACTGAAAATTCATCGTCCAATGAAACGCTTGCAGACGAGATTGGGATTGGTGTGACCACCACATCTCGGGATATTAGCTGTGGGCTGTTGGTTTTTCCAACGCTCGGCATGTCAAATCTTGAGTCCGGGATCAAAGGCACCACTTTTGGACTTTTGGACAGCAGAGAAAACAAAAAAGAAAAACAGATTTAAAAAAAAAAAAAAAAAAAGTGGCTGAGACTATCATTCAAGCTTAAACATGACTTTCTGCAGTAGCAGAGTAGATGCATTCAGTCCCTCCAGTTCAGGAGCAGAGTGGGACAAAGGGTGAAAGTGTCTCAGGACATTTTTTAAATTTTATACAGAAACTACTACTATCATACTAGAGGTGTATGGATGGCTGAAGTGTCTTCCTGTACATTATATAAGTGACTTTTCTTACTTTATATCTACCCCCTCCATTGGGGAAAAGTCATCTAATTTAAGCCATTACGCCAATTATTGAATAAAGAAGAAACAAATCTCATATGGGACACTTTAAAGCTTGTGAAACTGTGTTAATATACTGAATAAATACGAAGGGATATAACATCTGTATGGTAAGAATGCAGAAATTCTCTCAGCCGTCGTAACGGCGCACATTTGCCAAGTTTCATCGTTCTTCTGAGAGGCGTCTCATGGGAATTTCACAAAAAGTCTCGGGAGTTCAGTGGAACTGTTTGTGTCACTAGTTTTTATGCACTTCACTAGCAGCCGGTAATATTAAAGAACTTCCCGAGAGCTGTGCAAGCCACGCTCACCGGCTTTTTTTAGGAGCTTCTGAAAGCCTTTTCCAGGGAGATCTCATGAATTTGTTTGGGATTTCGTTGGCAGGCATGAAAGTGTGTGACTGGCGTCCTTCAGAGCTCAGTACTTTGCGCAAAACACCTGGCTGTTGTCCTCTTGATGTTCTGAGTGTCAGTCTCCTTCAATACATAATTTTGCACAGTACTTTCTCTTTTTGCATTATAATGGAACAACATAACACTGAATAACCACTTTGAACTCCAGTTTCAGCCAGATGCTGTGAGCTGGACCTTAGAAAGTCAGTCGTTTGTAAAGAGTCACATATGTCAAATGAGCCACCAGGCTTTCTGACGCGATATTTCAAAGGTATCTGAAAGCTCACTATGCTTGAACTCTTTCCATGTGCCAGCTCAAGCTGTTGAGCGGACTGTGAGTCACTGGAGGAAAATCAAGAACAATAAGAGACCAAAGTTCTCTAAATTCTTGATGTATCATCCACATGGACATATTTTATTAAGTGTCTGTGCCAGACTGATCGATGCAGTTTATTATTTCAGAAACCCGAAAAATGGATCTGATCTCATACCATTTCATACAGCAGTGGTCTGTAAAAGGAGTGTTGGCACCATTTCAAAATCACACACAAGACATAAAAAGTACACAAATGCAGATATTAATGTCTTAAAACTTTATCTAACTATTATACACTGAATCAGATCCAGCGAACCTTGTTTACTGTTGCTGAGATGCGAGTCGTGGATGTCAGAATGTGTCAACTCGCTGATGACGTGGAGAGTTATCTGTAGAAGATGGGAATGATGCGGGATGGGGGAGGGGATTAAGAGATGTGATCTGACGGTGGAAGCTCACTCATTGGCCAGATTATCCTGGGAATGATGCGGGATGGGGGAGGGGATTAAGAGATGTGATCTGACGGTGGAAGCTCACTCCTTGGCCAGATTATCCTGGGAATGATGCGGGATGGGGGAGGAGATTAAGAGACACGATCTGTTGGAGGAAGCTCACTCATTGCCCAGATTACCCTCACTGGAAGTTGAACAACGTGATATTCACAGTCAGTGTTAGGCACGTTATTGGCTGACTGAATAGTTAATTTGTACGTTACATTTTTACGGAATATTGGGTACATACATGTAGTATGTAGGTTTAGCATAATAACCTCACGCATCCAGGGTGTGCATGTTCTCTCCACATATATGCAGGTCTCTGCCAGGCAGTCTGCTGTCTAAAAAAGGCGTCTCTAGGTGAATCGGTGTCTCTCACTCGCCCATAGATTGTGAGTAAATATGCGACAGACTGTCACCCCGTCAAGGTTGCCCCCCTATGTTATATTCCATGCTTTTTGAAAAGTGACCCAGTACTAGATAAGTTATGTGTGAGTGATATTCATTACCTGTCAGAAATCTCACAACATGCATTTAAATTGGTGTAAACATTGCATATCCTCCGCATGCTCCTTCATTTCCTATATTATAAATGGCGTGTTTGGAGATTTTCAGTTGTATACAGAGAAAAGACCCTTATCAACATGACATAATTCTAACTGACAGCCTACATTTAGCTTACCTGTGCCATGTGTCAAGGTCACACAAAAAAGCTCTCCCTATCTTCCATAGGGTTTCTTATCTGCTGCTTTTGTTCTGCTATCACCATAACCTGCCTGACTAATAAACTCCCTGTTGCTTTTAACCTCTGAAAGCTGGAGCTCAGACGCCTGCGACTCCCTCAGTTTATTGGTCCGTTGCTTCCGTTTGCTTTGCTCACAGCCACGTGATCCTTATTCATTGGTATTGACTTCGTTCGTTTACTGTGGATTTGGATGGTGGATTTCAGTGTGGGGCATCATCCTTCCTTTAGTCCTTCCTTTATGCCTCAACCTTATAGCAAAAACTAATAAAAGAGACGTAAATATAGTTTTCAAACTCACTCAAAAACGGTTCAGATGTTCAAGCGATACTCTAGACCCCTCTAGATTACTGAAAGTTATCAGATTGTAAGAGTTTCGCAGCTTTAAAATTGTCATTCTGTGAAGTCTCATTCTGCCAGTTTCAGGTAGGCCCAGGGAGCAGGGAGAGGATCGGCTGCGTGTGTTGTCTGTAAATTTACATTTACAGTACAATTTAAAGGGATGACAAAATACTTTCTTTCTGAATTTGCCTGTGTAAATAATAAATATGACCTCGCAATAAATAGCAAATAAATATTTAGTACAAACTGGTTAATTTTCAGGTGATGGGTAGATTTTAACATATGACCTGCCTTTATTTTTGCATTTGTGTATCTGTTCATGCATTGTGTATATATGACTCATTCATTTTTGTACCTAGTAATGTTAAGCTTTACTAATTTGGGTGAAGGGGCAAGTATGAAGAGCTCTGACAGACTTTTAATTTTTCAGATCTTACTGCACCTGTTCCCCGCTTACTGCCAGCCAGCGAATGCTGGTAATATTCTCTGTTTGGCTAATATGAGGTAGCTGTGTCCCTCATGCTGGGTATTTCACAGACTGTGTGAGTCTCGTTTTCAGACAACGATCTGCAGCAATGCATATCCACACTTAGTGTTTTTTCCCCAGAAAGGTGCCGGTTTCACCTTAGTTTCCTTAAATTGTCTGAGTTAAAGTTAACACATATGCCTTGGCAGATGGCAGCAACACTGGAACTGCTAAAAGAAAATCTATGCTACTCCAAACACATATTCTAGATTGTGTTCTGGCCGAAAGTTACACTATGCTTTTGAAAATTTAGAAGAGTAAAATCTTGGTGCGTGAATATATCCAAGCTTGCTGCTGTGTGTTTATCCGTGTGGACAGATCCTGCTCATTTGGCTTGAAAGGAACAGTCGAGATATATGTCATTCAAGGCTTTAGGGTCATTTCTACCCTGTAGCTCGGTATTACATGTGTCTTAAGCTACGGGGCAAAGATTTGGTCGAAAGGAATGAGTCTGTATCCCGTAATGGAAAAGACACAAGGGTCTCAGTAGCTCCTGGCAATCAGGAAGCGAAGGAGGATGAGAGACCCAGAGGATACAGAGTGAATAGGTGTTACGCAGCCTGACTGTAGGCCGCATCGCGATCCTGACCCCGATCTGCCTTGACTTGCTATGAGCTGGAGCCAGAGGAAAGGAAGTAAATGTGGACGACCACGCACGTATCTGGACAGAGAGCCGGTGTAGTCTCATTGTGTTACAGAGTAATGGTAGCGCAGGTGGGAGGTTATCAAGCCCTGGATCGGACACTATAAATCGAGGTGCATAGAGGGATTAGGCCGAGTTTTTGTTCTAGCTGTAATTCTTTAGATAGCCAGCTAAATATGCTTGTTTATTATGCTATGGAGTGGTGAAGATAATTACAGAGAAATTACTCCATCTTTCTTTTATGGTTCGCAGTTGAAAACCGACTTTTAATTCACTTTGATTAAATAAATATTGCGTCTAACAGCTCTCGGTAAGGTTTTTTTGGAGGGAGGGGTAATCATGGGATGGTACTTGTGAGGTTAGATGGGGGTCGAACAAGGCTGAGGAGGAGGAGTAATACTCAGCTGCCAAGCTTAACGACTTTGTGCTTGGATAATCAAGTATTTAAAATACCATTTAGATTCATATTAATCAACACAGAGTATGCTAACATATAGCATTTCCACTGACTGAAATACTAAAAAAAAAGAGAATGGAATTGATTTAGTGCTTTAGGAGTGCTCTCTCCAAAATATGCTTATATTTTTGAAGCACATTAATGTATTATTTGTGATGTAGTTAAATAGTTAGTGGAGTTTTAACTTCTGTCTCTTTCAGGGTAATCGTTTTGGAGGTTCCTGTAAAATACAGTCAGGAGCTGCATAACGACATTTTGGCCGACGACGGACTTCATGCACGACGTTGGTTCCATAAGGCTATACTATAATGGTTCCTGTTGATAAGTGAGGTCGTAGCCGTCTTAGCACAACACCGATGAGTGGCCAGTGAGGGAACCTCCTTCTGGTGATACTGGTGTAAAGAAACCTACTACAATGCCAGTCATATAAAAAGTACATAATACTTGATAATGTATCAACTATGTTACTGGTTTATGTATTCACTAAACTGTACTTTTTTATCGTTAGTCTATTCTTTCTACTGATAAAAAGAAAAGTTTACTGTAGCTTAGATTTACTGTAGGCCATTTCAGTAATGTATACCGTTTAGGATTATGTAGGTACACTGTACGATGTTTGCACAATGACAAATTCGGGTGACAACGCATTTCTCAGAATGTATCCACGTCGTTAAGTGACACAGCTGTAAAACACTATAAGATCATAAAACATATCGCCGGTGTTGCGTGAATAATCCTGTGTATGGTTTGGCTCAAGGCTTGCCTGAAAGGCTCATCTTTGAATGTCATGTCAGGGCGTCTAAAACCAGGAAGTCCAAGGTTCCACAGAGTGATAAATGAAGCAAAAAGTAAATATATTTGCTTTCTTGATTTGGCATTTATGCTCCTACTGTGTGGGAAGAGCCTTTGTTAGCGTAGCAGCCGTGCTACTTTGGTAGCCCCACTACAAAGCCTCTGTTGGCACCGCCTAGCCATTAGCGAACGAGCGCCGTTTGTAGCGTTAATCCTGCCGGTGCCGGGCTTCTCCCCGGCTTTCTTCAAGGCCATGCCATGTGTCGAGTGGCTACGGTTTCATCTTCGCTTCTGCCCCCTAAAGCGGCAAAGGTTGCTTTTGATTACAGGCCCCGCGTAAAACTTGCCGCTTCTCCATTTCGAGTAGCGGTTGTTTTTTTTTGGCTACTGGCTTTCCGTTTCAGTACTGGTAGAGCTTTCTTTCCTGCCAAGACTTCCCATGCCCATGGGAAAAGTCTTGGGAATAACTTTCGATAAGTTTTATTTCTTCGCTACTGCTGTTTTCTTTTGTTGATGTTCCTTTTTATTTGGCAGTGTTGCGAATGGAGTTACCTTCATTAGGAGATTCCAGTCCAGGATCCAGGAGAGGGATCTCAGACATTCAGCCTATCCTAGATGTACGCTAGTGGAAATTCAGCGGCACCGGTTAGCTTGGCTGCTTGTCTTTGGATTGCGTAACAAAATCAGAACGTGACCACGGGAAGAACATGAAAAATCCACAAACACAGAGTTAACGCGGGATTCAAAAATCCTGGTGTTTTGAGGCAACAATGATTGCCACTGAGCCACCGAGTTTTTAAGAACGCCACCAGAAAATTTATCAAGTAATATTTTTTTTCATTAGTTAGTATATCACACACTGTTTAAATTTACGCACACAGTCGTGACTCATTTCATTTTATACTACTGGATACTTGCGCTGCGGTGGGCAGTGTTTCCATTTTTTTCAGCGCAGAAATGCTTACAGAAGCTTATTAAAGCTTACAGAATTTCTTTAAGATCAGTAGCTTATAAGTTGAAGCTGCGCCGATGGTATTAGCCAACATCCATCGTGCCCTACATTTAGCGCTCTCGTTGGCTGAGCCAACGATTTCTGATTAATGGCAGCACTGTTTACCTCCTTCACGATGTGAGAGAGTTTGCTAAAGAACACTGCTAACTAAGGGTGTGACTAGAGAGATATATCTTCCCGTACGCATCACCTGCCCAGGAGAATCTCTAATTTTATGGATATTTTATGGCCTGAAAACAAATGAGTCACTGAAGGGGGAGTGAGGAGTGTAATAGTGCATGCTGATTATTGACCCCAGAGGGGAACAGGATGTGACATCTTATGAAGTGGGCAACCCACAGCGGAAAAAGGAAAAGAAGTGAAATATTAGCACTCATGACATTAGTTATGTCTGTCCCGTGCACTTATTCAACCCCGTGTTTTAACCTGTAAATTTGGGCATTAAATTCTGGCAGTGGTTTGTTTTTACAGCTGTCCCACTAGCTACAACTGACTGCTTGTTACAGTACTGCCAGATAAGAGGACCTGAACCGCACTGATGTTCCCAGCTAGCTAATGGAAAATACAGAAGTTGCATAATGGTATCTTTTACCAGACGCTTCATAATGAGATGAAAAAATGACACGATGATACTTCATTGATCCCCGTGGGGAAATTCTCTTTTCTCCTATCCCATCTTGCTCTGCATGACACACATGTAGGTGAGCGCGAGCTTGGCAGCGACGGGCAGCCACCTGCCTCGGCACCCGTGGAGCTGGGGGTTAAGGGCCTCGCTCGAGTTCCCACAGACGTGGCTGTTCTGCGGCGGTCAGGCTCAAACCGGCAACCTTCTGGTCACAGCCCACACCCTACTCGCTGCCTCCTAGAAATAATGATGTGTGTGTGTGTTTTTGTCATTATTACATTGTGCCGGCCAGATTTCTTCACAATTTGATAACTTGTAACTTGTTTTTTTGGTCCCCACAAGGTGAATCTCCATTCAAAAAACTAAAAATGCCAAAAGTCTCGCATTTTGTCTCGTTACTTATGGTTAAGCTTCGGGCTGGGTAGGTGTTAGGGTTGTCATTGCTGCGATTATGGTTATGCCCTTAGAAGTGAATAGAGAAGCCCCATAAAGATATGGGTATGTGGACTCTGTGTGTCTGTAAGTGGGGGTGGCGGGGGGTGATAGATCTTGTTTCATGGAAATACAGGGCTGTGGGAGCAGTGGGAGAGGTCAGACTTGTCAAGATCTAATGTTCTGCCAGCTGACAGGCCTGACCTTGACTTCCTGAGCCAGCACTGCACGCTGTCCTTTTCACGACGAAAGCAGCATGTCTTAAACTGCACCCCTGAGCAGAGTTCTCTCTCAGATGAGGGGAATCTTCCTTGGCGAATGTCCAGTACATTTGCTTTCTTTCCTGGCAACAGCATAAGTATTATAGGACCCATCAAGAGCCACTGGCCATTGTGGATGCTGTCCATCATTTCAAATGTAACCTGTGTGCAGAACCCGTCACTGTATGAATGGATCATGCAGCTGCCATCTTCTGAATGACAGAATGGGACAGGGGACAAGCCACTGCAGTAGTGTCATGTGACAGACGGACAAGCTACAGTTAGCATCCAGGTGCACCGCAAAGTCCGAACGTGGCTCGGCTAAAGTAGAAGTCACAGACGCCGTGGGACATCTTACATGTACTGCCCCTGAAGTGCCAAGCTGAGGAACAATGGGAATAGACTAAATCACATCAAGCGTCTGTTAGCTGGAGGCAACCTAACAACGAGAACAGAAAGACGTAGAGTGAGGGCCATGTTCAAACGCGTGAAGAACAGCCCTCTGAGCAGGAGAGCTTTTGCGAAGGAAGGGATTTACACTCGGAATAAACAAAGGATGAATGCTGCACAGCACTGTTTGCCAACCGAGTCCTCTGGGACCCGGAGACAGTCCATGTGGTCAGCTTGGGGTCCCCAAGGACCGGGTTGGGAAACACTGCTGAACAGATATGAAAACTTTACTGTTCTTACTAGTTATCCAAATACTGCAACTTTGGTCAAAAACCCAAATTTCAGGTTTGCAAAATCCTGCACTGTATTCGTTTCAGGAAACAGGAAAAAATGAAATTATTCTATGCAGCATTCAAGGCCATATAATTTTCTGAGAATAAATGATTTGCATAAATTTAGAAGACTACGGTGTGATAAGTAGGACAGTAGTGGCCTAATGATTAGGGAAGCATACCGGTGATTAAGAGGTCACTCGTTGAAATCCCCGGCCAGCAAGGTACCCTGAGCAAGGTACCACCCCCAAGCACTGCTCCCCGGGTGCTGAATTAGCTGCCCCCTGTAATGTCACGGTGTCACATATGGCTTAAATGTAGAGGACACATTTTACTGTTGTGCACCATGTGACCACTAGCCACTTAAATCAATGTGGTTCCAGAACACAATTACATCAGCATCATTCTTCAAATGTGGATCTAAATCTGTGAGAAATACTTGCAACAAAATGATTACCAAAAAAAAAAAACCCTGAAAGAAATCGAACATAAATTAAACCCCACTGCACACCAGATGTTACCCGAAGTGAGCATTTGCATGCAGCACTTAACACTTATAAAACATCTAACTGTGCAATATGCTGTCATTACACATCCATCCGTCAGACTTCCCTGACCGTGTATTTGGTACAAGGTCATGATGAGTCTGGAGTCTTTCCCAGGAAGCACTGGGCACAGAACGAACGGCACCCTGGAAGGCTTTCCAGTCTATTGCAATGCAGGCAGTGACTTACAGTAAGTGCATAATTATACAGGCCTGCTACGCATTAATGCACAAAACCTCCAAGAAAAAATGCTAGAACACATGAATATAAGCAAGTTGTGGTTACTACACTGCTCTGCCAGTTTACTTCATTCCGCGAAGAACTCCACGCTTAGTAGTAGCTGTTTCTATGACTAGACTATTTCTCTAAGGGTCCAAAGCAAGGGACTAGGTTTGCTTTCAGCATTGGAACCAAATCAGACCTGAACACAGGGACATAGGAGGGGCCTTGACAATGTGCATGCCCCCCCTGTGCCCTAGCTAAATATGTATGCTACCGGGGTCGGAAACAAATGTACTATTATTATTATTATTATTTACATTTATATATGTGGGCTAAAATTTTGTGCGCGGGGAACAGGCGAAACACAAAGGTCTCAATGCGGGTCCACTGGCTGGTCGAGTCGCTTCATTTGGTGAAAATAATAGTCAAACTTATGGAAACAAGTGAGTTACGTACCTGTAAAAACTGTTAAATGTCACTGCAAAGTGTTGCATAAATAACTTGTCCGTTTTCAAATCGTCTTTTGCTTCTTAAGGCTGGCAATCTATTGTAAGTAATACTTGGCGGACATTAAGGTCAAATGCTAACAGAACTGAACAACTGGTCCCAGTCTGCCCCCCCGGTTAAAATGGACACTACCTGAACCCCCCCACCCCCCTAAACACACGCAGCACTCCCACAATATTGGTATGGACATGGCATGCCCCTGCTGTCCATTGCCCAATCTGCAGCCTCGGTCCTCAGACGTTTTCTGTGTTTCCTCTGGGCTCTTGCCTCTGGCTCCGGAGATTTGCCATCACCTTTGGGTTCAGAGCTACATGTGACGCGTCTTGCCAGCTGAAAAGGAAAGTTGGCAGTGCAGAGGGTGAGGGTCTGGCATGAGTGAAGCCTCTCGTAGGGATCTGAGTGTGTTAGTGATGCAGCATACTTCTTTACTGTAGCGGGGGGAGATCAAGAGTCAAGCTAAGCCACTTGAGATGTTGCAGTATAACCTCTAAGTTGCGGTGGGGCTTGAATTCATTCAGTCCCCATACCATGGTTTGACATACTGTAAGGCGACCATGTAATGCATTTCCATATCACTTGTTTTTGCAATGCAGGTTGATACCCAGACACACATGCAGACCACACACACACACACCATGCATTTATGGAATATAAGTCGTGATAATGCAGTGATTTGTGCATTACAAAGAACTGCGATATCCTTTGTGCTTTAAAATAGAGTACAATTAATCTGTATTTTTTTTTATATGTAAAATAAACGAAAAACCTCCAGCAAGATGTAAGGCATTAATTGTTTCAGGTTATGATCATAAGATTATGCCACAAAAAGCGAAGGAGATATACAATTTCCTGTGGGTCTTGGGATTTTTAATCATTCTGTAAACCGCTTAGGATACATCAGCCGGAAGCCTGAGCTGCGCCCAGGAAAATGCAGGACCCTGGATTGACGTGCTTGGCTTTTTCTTGCCTTGCAGTTTAGTGTCCATATTTATATTTAGCCAAACAGCTTGTACCATGACACCAGATTCAGTCATCACTGCTTGCAATACATTTCCCATCACTGCGGGTGTCTGCAGCATTAGCACCTTCAAGAAAATCGCTAACAGGCAATGAATGCGGATCATGTGTGAATGATAGCATGATTTGTGAGTTAATTAGGTCAATGGGGCAGTTGTACAAGAGATTTATTTCTAGGGTCATTTAAATTAAATCCTAGTTTAAAGTAATTTGTTTACATTTCATAGTAAATCGCGAGTTACAAAAGCCTTGATGGCAGAGTTCATCCGTCTCATGTGTAATAAATCTTGCGATGGGACTGATAAATGAACAATCCAGAGGAATGGTGCTCTGTTACTTACTTCTGTCTTCATCCACCGTAGTGGGCAGAAACTATAACGCCATTTGTGACGTAAATGATGAGATTGGGAACCCTCATTTTATTGTTCGGTCATGACATTGTTAGATCAACCCAGTCAAGTAATGCATCCCCCTTAATTACATTTCATGACCTCATAAATCCTTCCATGCTGGCTCTCTGTGTGGAAAATCCCCCAAGTAACACAATTTCCTAATAGCCCCCCTAACGTGAATGCTAATTAACGTTTATCAATATTGCAAAGGGGAGACGCTCGTTGAAAAGAAAAAAAAAAAAAAGGAACTGGCATCATCTCGTGGCTGAGTTTAAGTGCTCATTAAGCCTCTGCCTAATTAATCCTGAAAGATTCGACACATGCTGGTTAAGTCCTTGCCCCTGGGCTTCTTGTGCTCCAGGTACTGCCCTTCGGCCTGAAAGAGTCAATTATTTGCGTCTTAATAAACTGGATACACTGATTCACTCAAATGTGGCCGAGCTGTAATCAAAATCTTGTAAATCTATTATATTTGCATTTTTTAACGTGGTTCAATGCCAGTTCCTGTTGAGCATTGTTCTGGCTCCTGCTTCACTAACCGGCTCTCACCTGTCAGCAACATGAAGCTGTCACTGTACTGCCTTGACGAGCTCAGATGCATATTTTCAAATCGGTAGTCACAGATATTTCATTAAAAGGCAGCAAGGTGACAATCTCTCCGATTTCATCTGGTCGTGTACCATGGATGCACTGAAGGTACGTGACTGTTCGTTGGCCTTAAGTAACGCGAGTCTCAGCGCTCCATCCATTCCGCGCATTTAAACGGTGGCACGACTGAAGCTGAAGAACAGATTCTAATTTAATTACTAATTTAATGCCAGTTGCAGAGGAAATGACTTTATAAGTATCTTTGTTGGGCAGGATTTGATCCAAAAATGTTCAGGGAAAATGTTCATGCACCCAGATCTAAAAGGAAGAGCTTCTCCCAATATTCCACTCCAAATTAAATAACTTTGTTCTGAATGGTTATTTGGTGCAGATCTAAAGCTTATTTATATTAATTAACAGGTATATTTTAATATTGGTTAAATTTATCGTTAGAATTTTACATGATTTATGAACTTCAGATGTAGTTAAATAAAAATTTTACTATTCTAACGAGTTCATAACAAGAAGCAGATTATCCTTCACTTTTAGAAAGTTCTAGGTCAAAAAATAAATCTTGTGATTGACAATAACTCAAAACAGAAATGTACTTTCATAAAATAAATTTTTGTCTTACAAGCTCAGTGTAATTTGTGAATAATTAGTGCTGTACAAAACACACGGAACACAGTGTACAGAACACAGAGTGAGTACTGTTTGTTTACTTAAAATAAATATTTTATTTGCGCGTACATGTAATATTGTATAGTGTGTCAATCCTGTTTATCTAATACAAACGTATTAACTAAATATTACACCCCTTTTTTTTATAGAAATGGTTTTATAGAATTTTCCCCAAACATAAGCAAGCACTCAAAAAAAGCCATGTGTTGCCGTTAAAATAAAGGGCTGCGGTTTCCTGTATTGCCGTGGTGACCAACAAAATGGAATCTTACACTCCTGGCCCTGTACTCTGCAGCAGTATAACGGCATCATATCGGTGTTAGGTGTGAATATGGGAAACCTCTACACCTTCTGAGATACACGTATTGTTTACTGTTAGCTGATATCGATACACATTCAAAAAATAGAACTCAAAACTGAATTGGACTCAAAATAAAACTTTTAACTGTAAGATTATTCTTCTTTTGCCAAAACAATTCCTTAATCAATAAACTGCGGGCAAAATGTGGAATTAGATTCCTTAGCTGAATGTCCAGGTTCCCTGTTATATACGGTATATATACACATTACTGTAAATTACCCCCAATAATGAAAACTGGCTAATGCGTGCCCCTGGACTGCCCTAAATGGGTGGAGATCTCAAGCCCTCCCTGATACACACACACACACACACACACACACACAGACACACACACACACACACACACACAGACAGACACACACACAAAGTTATGCCTTTGTATATACATGAGAGAGGACTAAAGAGTTTCTGTGGCCAATTACCTTAAAAATTCACTGGTAAGAGACCAGATGTGCTTCCAGTTCTCATGTGAAGGTGGCACCACTTTTCACTCCCATTCTCCACTTAAAATCTCAACAGACATTTCACTTCTCACTGGTTTGCACCAAGGACCCCAGTACTCACAGTGGCAGCTGCACACACTTAACCTGCCGCATGTGCAGCGGACTCCGATACGGCATTTAATGCCGAAAGGATTTTAATGTCGGCATTTTAGAGCTGTATGATTCTGTAAATCGGAGTGTACCGTACAAACATTAAAAGACACTCTACACCATGGAAACATATTGTTACAATAAGATAGAAAAACTGAGACGTCTTTGATGTATGGTTTCTGCCAGCGGCACCCTTAACCTAAATCAATATCACCATATGGCCGGACTCGAAACAGCTTTCTGGAACAGTCTGTGCCAGGCTGTGCACCTCCATTAGCTGCCCTCTTCCTCTGCGTAACCTGCGACCACGACAGAGAGTGCTAGATGTACAGCCAAAAACCAATTACCCTTTGTCCGTTAACTAATAACATCAGTGATAAAATGGTGAATAGACTGATCTAAGGCACAGACTGCAATATTGTGCTAGTAATACTGTCCATTATGCTCTGAGTCTAAGCGGTCTGTACTAAACACGCATAAACAAAACAATAAACACATAAAACAATTCTGTTTTTATGGTCAAACTTTGTTTAACAGTAGTAAATATTAAAATACCATTAGCCTATAAAATGTCTGTTACATGGGTAATTAATTTTTTATGGAATACTTCATTCAGGTGATAAATTCGAATCATTCGAATATACTATAAATTGTCAGGTTGCCTTTATATCGTAGCATTTCCTGGTTAGGATATAGTTCCAAACAAGGCCACACAGCCTTAGAGAGAGTCTTTCTTTGGAAATAATCCCCCGCCCCCCCCCATCCCCCATCCCCCGCCCCCCGCAGGACCTGTTCACAGAAAGGTGCCCTGTCAAGACAGTCAGAATCATGAAGGACTGCTCTCATCCCCTCTACAGCCTGTTTGAGTGACTGAGATCCCAAAGACGTCTTCCATGCTTCAGATCAAGAACGGAAAGACTTAAGAGGAGCTTCATCCCTCAGGCTATAAAGTTCACAAACAGTCACCTGACCAAATACCAAGACGGCTCCTCCCTCATCTCCTTCTACAAATACTATACAATCTCCCTGTATTTGAATCATACATTTATAATTCACCCTAAAAATTCTATGTATTTCTTGAGCCTTTTAAAACAGTAGTGCCTTATTACACATATGCATATTGTATGTATGGATACATATGGTATAATCTTTGTTTACCTCCCTAGTATCTGGTATATTCCATAATTCATATATACTGTTTATGCCATATGCCTTACCTGTTGCTCTAATACATGTATCTATAGTATTTTTTCCCTACAGTTTATGTATAATCCATCCATTTTCTATTCACTTATCCTATTCATGGTCGAAGGACAGATTATATAGCACTTTCTGAGACGCCCAAAGAGCTTTTCAGAACCAATGTGGAGCCCCCACCTAGATGATGTGATGGCAGCCATTCTGCACCAGTACGCTCACCTCACAGTAGCTAAGGTGGTGATGGGGCAGGAGAGGATTCACCAGTTAGA